GTTATATGCGCTCTGCTCTTTGCTTGATGTTCTGAATGTTATGTTGTTGTTTATAACATTGCTTTGTGCATCCATCTCCCCAAACACTTTCGATCCTCTTCTCTCCCCTCTCTCCCCTCTCTCCTTTCTCTCCCATTTCTCCCCTCTCTTTCTCTCTCCTCCTCCTCCTCCTCCCCCCTCTCTCTCTCTCGCTCTCTCTCTCTCTCTCCCTGTTTTCTGTTTTTCTCCTTGTGATGAACAGTTCGAGTTTTAGTTTGAGTAAAGAGAAGCACATCGACATAATAACAATCGTGTAGTGAAAGAAAGAAGCAAGACAGACAGTCAAAGGCAACCGTGGGAAAGAAAAAACGTGGGACTTACCAGAGTCACCCTACAACCACCCTTTGTGACAAATACGAATTCATCTACACAATTAACTAGACATTTAAGGGGTTGGGCTTCGACCTAGACGGTCAGAGATAGTATAAGAACGTATAGGCTTCCACCGTTCTTGTCCGGGCCAACCCGGGATGGAAGATAGAGATACTAAATAAACATTTTCCCCACTCGGGAATTGAACTCGGCTCTCCTGCGTGCGACGGCGAAGCACCTAACCGCCACACCACAGACATCGGTAAAAAAGTAAAGATGTTCCCGCATCCGATCCGGATATTGGGGATTCCCTTGTTAGTGAGACAACTTTCTGGGCGTTCGGCATATTGTGGTAGGGTGGCCAATTCCTTTCCACGCCGCCTTTTCTCCCTAACTCGAAGTCAGGTACCCATTACTGCTGGGTGGGCAGGACGGGGAGAAAAAATCCGTGTCCGAACCGAAGCTCGAACCTGGACTTTCCGCTTCGGAGACGAGAGCACTATACCACTCCGCCACCGCACCAGACAACGGTGATAAGTGTTAAAATAGAACTTCTCCAAACTTGCAGAATAGTTTTACATATTGACATAGTAGTTTTAGTGTTTGTTCTTGTCATTGCACGTTTTCAAAACAAATCTTTTTAAGTAGTAAAAGTAAAAATTTGGTGACCAGTGACAGATTCACAAGAGGAAAAAGATCGTTGTGTGTGGTTCTGAGAAAATCTGTTGGATTGAAACAATTTTATTTTCAAACTGGAGTTTGAAGTTTGGTTAATTTTTGGAATACATTTTCCACGATGACAATGCATAGGGGCAAATAATGCAAGTACCACAGCATAAAAGTGCCAACAACAACAACAACAACAACAACAACAACAACAACAACAACAACAACAACAACAACAACAAAACACATAAACAACAACATTAACAACAACAACATCATCAACAACAACAACAGCAACAATAACAACAACAACAACAAAACCACTGGGAAGAGCTGTAGGAAAAATCTCAATATTGATGAAAAAAAGTTCATCTTTGATTGGAATTGTAGGCAAAGGAATAGAAAAAGTGCAAACCGAACCAATGATATATACACTTCATCAAAGTGGAACGAAGCGATGCGTGGTCCTTCTAACATCCGGTGACGTTCAAATTATTCACAAGCCCTGGATTTTCCAGAAAACGGCGTTAACATTTAAAAAATTCTTTTTCTTATTGTATAATACAATATGTGGGGGGCTCCCATGAAAAAAGAAGAATACACCCGAATGAATGAAGAATTTCCTTGCTTGTCTAAGAATTCTGCGTAATTCGACGGCGATGTGCCTGGAAAAAAATTCTTTAAAAAATATTCTGAAACAATTTTGAGCAAAATCCTTGAAACATTTGACGCAGTGGTGGTTCTTCTTTTTAATTTAATGGAATCTCATTCTCCATGAATAATACGAAGGTCAAGGTTTATTTCAGGCGGTATTTCAAATATAAGTCTCTGCACTATTCGACGGGATTCCTCGGCGCCGCGCGCATAACCTAGATCTGGCATAGATCTAGTGGGATCTCTCAGGAGAAAATGTCCGGCTTCAGAATGTACCTATATCTGTAATGTGCTGATGACCGACAGATCGCACGGGAAGTCGGATTAGATAAATGAAGCCGGCAGCTGGCAAGGCTAATAGTTTCTAAACTAATTTCAAGGTTCTCCTTTTGAGTGCATCTTCTCCCAGTCAGAAAATGGACATTGGTTATTTAAAAAAACAACAACAACGAAAAACACAGAAAAACAAACAACATCAAAAAACAAAAACGAAT